TTTTTTTTTTTTTTTGGTACCGGGGATTGAACTTGGGTCCTTGCGCTTGCGCAGCAGGCAGCAAAACCACTGAGCTAAATCTCCGGCCCTACGGTGGGTGCCAATTCAGGTCCCCTTCCCTCAGTCCTCCAACTTTCTTGGGCAAATTCAGTAGGTACCCAAAGGAGGGCAGTGCCCCCTTACCTAATGAAGCTATTTAGAAACTGTTGAAGTAGAGGGCTAGGAAATGGGTACATTACAGAGAGTAGAAAAAGAACTAACAAAGTGCAGTGGTACCACAATATAAAGGACTCCCAACTCTAACAGTGGTACAAATTCTGCCTTCGTGGTCACTGACAGGAACTTCTAGTCAGTGAACTTCCTGAACCATCCTGACAGGAACTTCCGGAAGAGCTGTGCAGGGAGGAAGGGCAGAGAGCAGCCAGGAGGGACCAGAACTGATCGGCTGCTCTGGACTGCCATGGGACTGTTATTCATGAAGGTTACATGGTTAATCAAAGCATCTTGGAGCCCAGTTTCTTCTGAGCTCATTTCTCCCTCATGGGTTGTCTTGAGGCTGAGACTATGTACGCAAAGCACTTGTGACAGCCCCAGTGTTTGAGGAACACAGGGAGGTTAGTCACCTGCTAGAGGAGACCTTGGTGTCCCAAGCTGCCAAGATCAACACTGACGAGAGCGGTACTCAGAAAAGCAAGTGGTGCCGTGAGCAAGACAATCGTGTGTCCAGAGGCAGACTCAGAACCAACTGTAAAAAGTGTGTGTTTTCCTCTTTGAGGCCTGTGAAGTTCAGCCTTTTTATGTTTCAAATTCTGCATGCTCAAACTAGTTACTGGAAATGTTAAAGGTCTTTCAACACAACTCCTTTAAAACACAATGACACTCTATAATCCTTGTGCCACCATTTCAAGGCTTGTCATTCCCGCTTTTTTGTGTAGCATTTTCCTGCCTTCAAACCAGTGAACAGAGATGCTATGGCTTGTGTCTAATGTCCCCCCAAAGCCTTGTGTGGTCAGAGGTCTGATATAGGGCACCAAGTAATCCAAAAATGATACAAGGTAGCAAGCAATCCAAACAGGCAAAAATAATCTAAACATGGAAAATATTATAACTCTCAACCTGCTAGATATCCAAAATGTGAGTTTGTGTTCTCTAAAATCGAAGAATGAATTCTAGGAACAACAGAGGTTAAGAGTAGGAAAAATTGGGCTGGGGATTTAGCTCAGTGGTTCTGGTGCCTGCCTTGCAAGTGGATAAGATAATATGGGACAGAAAGAGCCTTGTTTGCTTTTGCTGCCTTGCTGCCTTCTGCCTGCCATGAAGTGTTTCTCCTCTGTGATGGCCCTGTACCATGTCACCCTGCCTTGGAGCAAGCCAACTATGAACTGTGAGCTAATAAAACTTTCCTCCTTTAACTTTAGGTGTCGGATATTTTGTCTCAGCAGTGAGAAGAGTAGCTAGGACAAGAGATCTTCACTAGTGTTTAAATTGTGAGCAAAGATATAACCTGGTATGTGTAAATGGGGATCTTATGGCCAAACTGGCACAGTAGGCCTTAAAGTTACCAACAGAGAGATGGTAACACAACGAAAAGTCTTTGGACTAACATTGAAGCAAGAATTAATTCCCTATGATTGTACTATTTGAGAATAGCTCTAAACTCCCTGACCTTTACCCATGGCTAGTCATAGCCAGTCACAGCCACCAAACACTGGAAGATAGCTATGGAGAGTTCCATCTTTTCTAGAGGAGTCAACTATATCGGTGGGCTTCAAATTTGAATTTATCAATGGTATACAAACTGAAAGATTGTGCAATTTTCCACACTTAAACTGTGAGTTATACATTCAATCTTCAGGTTGTCCTCCTCCTTTTTAGACAGATAGGGCAAGTAATTACTACTAAACTATTACTATTTAACTTTCTCACCACCAGCCACTAAAATGGATTCACTGAGAAAAACGCATGACGTTGAAATCATAGGTTTTCCTGTAAATTCTGGGTGATTTGTGATTTCTTTAATTCTGGGTGATTTGTGATACCAATTTGTCTCTTGGACAGGGGAATTCTGTTTAATGGGGTATAGATCACCACAACAAGGTAGGAAAAATGCTTAAAATGTAGACATCGATGTGATATAATTCGCAGATAATTTAATCTTTCTTTCCCTTAGCATTGCTGGACAAGAGCTAAGAATTGTTCAAATATGGAATCTGAGAGAGCAAAAGTTAAAGGTGGGAAGTGTGATGGGTTTTTACTGTGGCTTCCTAGAGGAACCGAGAGGTTTCCTAACTTTTAAACCTGTCAGTTTCATTGTTAATAATTACTGACAGGGTTCAGGGTATATTTTGAATACCAGATTGATTTTAAGTTAAAATCCTGATATTATTTCATAATATGTATAAGATTATTCAGGCTGGAATAAGAAACCTATAACTTGAGTGTATTTTTACAAAGATAAACATTCGGAAAAGGTTTCATTACAGTACTTCAACAAGGAGGAAACTGGAATCACGCTGGAACAATGAAGTGACTTTCCTACAGTCTTGTAGTATCTCCCAATTCTAGGCCAAGTACAGCTTTTTGATTATATTGCCTACTCACACGGAATTGTGAGTGTATTTTTGCTTTGCCAATTAGCAAGTCACCATCACTTTGGGGTGGTATAGAACTGTGGATCCCCCTACTGATGGTTTCTTCAAAGTGCAGATCACTGCACTTATTTTATGGTTCATGGAATCAGTCCCTACCAGAACTGGGGAGGGAGGGGCCTAAAGTATGCAGGTAATATAGTAAGGGTGAATATTGTTTGGTGAAAATGTTTCAGTAGTGTCGGGAGCAATACTACATAATATTGGAGAAAAATCATTTGATTAGGCCTAGTTCTCATGCCCACAGGCCAGCTATGGCATTTTGAGACATAATTCCATTTTGGCCTTCGGTCACAACTGAGACCTCAATGATCTGGTGATGCTGTGATGCTCCAGGACCAGATTACAGCAGCAGAAGACACCCTGGGAGGAACAAAATCTTCATCTGCATAGCTCCTCCTTGATCTAGGAATTCCACCTGCTCTCCAGTCATCTGTTACATCTGTTTCTCCCGATGGACTGAATAAAAGGTGCTGCAAGCTCAGGGGCTTTTGTCTTTGCTGCCCAGAGCAGCACTGATCAGGCCCAAAGCTCAGCTTCTTCTCAGTCTCATTTTGTCTACCTTTCCTGTAATAATAAGTTAATTCACCTTGTGCTCCTGTGGCTCGCAGAAGACTAGGACTCACTGCAGAGGTAATGTCCCCTTTCCCTGTTCCCCACACAGTAGTGCTGTTTTGCTTTGAACAATTTCCCTCTGGGCCCCAAGTTGGAAAAATTTTGTCATCTTCAAACCTATCTTCCTTCTTTCCTCAAATTCAGGCCTATGATGTTAACTAGTTGTTTTTATTTGTACGAAGTCATTACTTTAAGGCCCAATTAATATAAATGGAATCTTTGTAGTTTATATTTAAGGGGAGCTCAGTGATTACTGCCATTCTATGGTCAAATTTGGCCATCTGGTGGTGCACACCTGTAATCCCAGTATTCTGGGAGGCTGAGGCAGGAGGATTGCAAGTTTTAGTACAGTGTAGGCAATTCGGGGACTTGATAAGACCCTGTCTCAAAGTAAAAAGTTAAAAAGAGAAAGGTATGGGGATATAGATCAGTGCAAAGGCCCTGAATTCAATCCCCAGTACTGATTTAAAAAAACCCAAAAAACTAAATTTTACTTCTTGGAAATCCCCATATCTTATATATATGCTACTGTCATAGAACTGCCTGACTTTTTACAGCATGTATCTTTCAGTTCACAAGCATATTATTCTTAGAAAGCATCCAATATAACCATTTTTACAGAACTACGAAATAAAGTTTTAGGAAAAACTGTTGCAAACCCCACCTTTTATACCTAACCACAACAGTCTAATTTGACAGAGGAAAGGGCCAATGACTGTCCTCACATGAGCTCATGACTCAGACCGCTTTGCTATCACAATCTGTATTTTTGATCTGGTTTCAGCATTGAGGAGATATTCAAATATTCCCAAAGAAAAAAGCACAATGCATTCTCATCGCCTGTTCAGCAACAGCAGGCTCTCTTCTCATCCCAGGAGCTAAATAATGTCCACGATGTCTATGGATGTTTCCTCCACTGTAGCACTGCAGAAAAATCTCAGTGTCAAAAAGAATCCTCCTCTTTAATATTTATGGTCACAATCTATGTCTCCTAAATTGACCCTCACTGCCAATTCTGAAAAAAAGAAAAATTATTAATCAGAATAGTACTAATCAGATAGTGCATGGAACTACTGAACAATGTGAACTACTTGTTAAACACTATTGGCTGCTTATTTGCCCCAAATTAAATATAGAGTGCTTTTAACTGAAGCACTAGATATTAATTGGAATATCTAGAGAAAAAGAGAAAAAATTTTTTGCGGTTAATACAAAAGGATTCAAGATTCACCTGGCTGCAAAATGAGATTTTTATCAGGTATCCACAGCATTAATTATTTATAAAGCAGGTAACAGTTCTGGGCATGGAGCCCTAAAATTAAAGCCCATAGCAAAGCCAAGAGTGGTCAGCAGCTTGGCACAGGTGTGCCAAGAGACACAACAGCTTGGCACACAGGTGTTGCAAGAGGTGTACCCGAGACGGGGAAAGCAACAGTTACATAATCCATTTTGATGCACTTTGGCAAATGTTAAGTGCAAATGTAAATGTTCTGAAATGTTAACTACTGTTTAAGTTTATGTTGTTCAACTAATCAGTCACTAGCCACATGTAACTTTAAATTTAAAATAATTAAAATTAAATAGAAAATTCAGTTTCTCTGCTGCATTAATCACATTTCATTACCCATGTGCGACCTGTCGCTCCTGCAGGGCAGCGCAGATGGAGAACATTTCTGCCCCACAAAGTTCTGTGGGACAGGCTTGGCTCAGGACTTAAACTTTCTCCAGTAGGGGGAAAATCTCTAAAGATTTGTTATTTTAACCCATAATTACTGTTGCTTTCTGCTCAGTTCATTCATGCACTGTAACACAAATGAGCGCAACATATTAGCCACCGCAGCTCTCTACCAAAACAAAACAACCAATCAAAAAATCCTTGCTGGAGTAACTTAAAATATCAAATCACCAAGTTGAGAGAAAAAGAAATATAAAGAAACTGACCATTATTTATCCAAACATCATGCTGTTTCATTTATGACTCTATGTCCTAAATCAGGCCCATGACGTTTCTGATTACCTTCTTGTTATCTACTCCTCTCAACTACTTTTTGAAAATAAAGTGATTTTTACATTAGTAGCGAGGCTCAATTCAATTTATTAGTGCTAAAGCCACTAAAAGTAAGCCAGGACCAAGATAAACTGCTACCATAAAATACCGAGAAAGCTCCCATTATAAATTGTCAAGAAAGCACAAGATATGAGCAACACAACTTAAAAAATATACGTGTAAGCCAAAGAGAACTAGATCTAACATCGTTATTGATTTTTTTACCTTTTTATATAGACACTATAGGGTCTGAAATCTGGGCTACAAATCACACTTGCTTTTTCACAGCTTACTGATCAACCACAAATCTCCCCAAGTACGATTTAAACAAATGTTACCATGTTACCAGGTGCTAAGATTATTTTCCTGATTCATCTGCTCGACTTTAAAAAGTTTTCTAGCTAACAATAACCATTCGCCAGAATGAAAGGAAGGGATCCAAAGCAGATAACACATATTTAATTGAGAATGTAGTTTTGACTCTCAGGCAGTTCACAGTTTATAACCGTAGCCATTAGTTGTATGTAAAAATCAAGAATCTGATTTGATAGTATATATCCAAATTCTGATCTGGGCAAAAACTTCTGCCCACTTTTGTGTGATTCAAAGTAGTGATGAACTATATAGAACAGTGCACATCACTGTGGAGTGTGGTCTTTATTCCCCCACAGCTAGGATGGGCAAAGGACTAGACCCCTCCCCCTGAACCAACTTACGGCAGATCAATATTGTAATTAAACATGGAATTGGAATACTTACCAATTAGTCAAGAGTGATAAAAATACTACTTGTCACTTACCTGAATCCCCTCCAGATAACCTCTTTTCCCTTCTGTCACCACCTGCAAAACATTAACAAGCCCTCATTCTCAAGAGTCACTTGTCAGCCTAGTGCTTGTATGGTAGCCCTGTATGAGACCAAGCATCCCTGCCGCTTGGGTACCAGCAGGCAGGGCCAGGAAGGTGACAGTTTTATTTAGAGCAGGAAGCACAAACAATGTAGCACTTCGCCGCTACACTGTAACTAGATCCTGCCTCAGTTTACTAAGAAAATGACTAGATAGCAACAGCATCTTAATTAGCAAAGCTAGACAACAACAGCTCTCATGGAAACTGAAATCATGTCATGCATTTTCCAGAAGTCGGTATAAACTTTGCCTTCTGTTCTTCAAGGAACATCCTGACTGCTTGGTTTCTCATCTGTCACAAAGAGCACACAATTGCCTTCCTTACAATATTTCAGAAAGGAAAATGTTAATGCATCTCAGCATTGGAACAAAAGGCATTTCCATTTCACCAATGGAAGAGACCATTTATTCTACTAATTATACCTAAATACAGATATTACTGTACCAAAAATCTTAGAACAAAGGACTGGGGACTTAAAAAGGTTCACCCCAGTTTTTCTTCTACCTGGTACAGTTGTTTAGTTGTTTTTTATTCTTGTGTTTACTCTGCTGGCCATATTACAAATACTAAGACATGATACTAGTTTCTTCAATTTTAGAAAGAGCTTCAACAAAAATGGTAAAATCAAAAAGCCTTGGGTATTGTTTTTATATGTACCAAACAGAAAAACATTACCCTCTTTCAAAACTACTGTGAAACACTGATCCCTCCATGTGCTAGCTCTTCCTTCTTCACCAGAATTTGATGTCATCTCTCATATCTTCTTGATAACGTCCAGGATATTAATTAGCACTGAGGCAGAAAGCAGCAGGATCTTAAAGAAGAGACAATACCCAATAATGCTGAAAATTCAACTAAGCAGATAGAATCGTTTTCATGACAATGCTAGAGATGTTTGAGACCAAGCGTCCCTGTCTTACTACAGAACCAAGTTAGACAGAGATTGTGGGAAACCCTTGCTCTCGGCAGGGGGAAGGACAGTACAGCACTTCACAGCTATACCGTGATACCCTCCTGCCAGCAAGAGACAGGGCCTGCACACACCTGAGTGCTCGGGTTTAATTCTGGTAAATCTCATAGATGTGATCCTTAACGCCTAGCTCAGTGATGGCGAATCTCTTACAGACCAGTGCCCACACTGCAACCCAAAACCCACTTATTTATTGCAAAGTGCCACCACTGAAATTAAACCTGAATTCTGAGGTTTAGTTTAGAAAAAACAACTCATACATTAGCATCTTTTTTTTCTTAACCATGTAACAGTTTACTTAGGCAGCGCTGTCAGGTGTCATTTCAACCAGTAGATTCTTGTACTGAATAAATTTGATAAAATTGTCGCTTTTATATTTCCTGTTATATTAACTTATAAAATTAACGAAAAAATATGCAATTTTTGGCCATCCTATATTTAAGTAATCGGACGACTAAGTGGTTAAAAGAAAAACAACATGTATGTCATAAGTGTGCATCACTGCCCTAGCTCAATATTTTTATCTGGTTCATCAAAAATGAATAATGTGAGAGTTAAAAAAATGCTTTACTTAAGTGCGAGCGAGCACTGTGGCTTCCTTACAACTCGTACAGCAGGGAAGGAAGGAAAGGGAACTTCCCAGTGGAGAAACTCAACAAACGCTACCTCAGCGTCTCGTCTTAAGTTGGTTTTTGTGTCTTTTTAAGCTAGGGATGCTCGGTTTCCTTGAGATACCAGCTAGATAATTTAAAATATCAAAGAATAAACATTTCTCACATTATTATTCAACATATAAGATGTATACATTATGAAAGAAGCACATTGTTCAGACATGTATTTACTGATTATTAATAACTTTTAAAGACAAATGTCTTTAAGGGCTGGGTATTTAGCTCAGTGGTTCTGGCGCCTGCCTCACAAGCACAAGGTCCCGAGTTCGATCCCTGGTACCAAAAAAAAAATGTCTTTAAGAAGTTAAATTATCATTATTTGCAGATGACATGATATGCTACATAGAAGACTCCAAAAACTAGATTTAATAAATAAATTCAGTAGTGTAGCTGGAGACAAAGTCAGCACTCAAAAATCAATAGTATTCCTGTACACAAACTCACTGAGAGAAAAATTAGGGAAACACTCCTTTCAAAATAGCATCCAAAAAAGTGAAATATCTAGGAATCAATCTAATGAAGGAAGTAAAAGATCCTTGCATGGAAAACTACAGTACTCTGAAAAAAGGGATAGAAGAGGATATCAGAAAATGGAAAGATATCCCTTGTTCTTAGGTAGGAAGAACCAATATAGTGAAAATGGCCATAATTCCAAAATTGTTATACAGATTTAATGCACTCCCAATCAAAATACCAACAGCTTATCTAACAGCGCTAGAGAAAACAATCCTAATACTCATTTGGATCCAGAAGAGACCTAGAATAGCAAAGGAAATTCTGGGCAACAAAGGCAAGGCAGGGGGATCACAATCCCTGACTTGAAATTATACTACAAAGCTACTGTGATAAAAACAGCATGGTACTGGAAAACAAACAAACAAAAAAACCCGACCCAAGGATCAATGGAACAGATTAGAAGATGCAGAAACAGACATACTCAGCTACCTTATCTTTGACAAAAGAGCCAACCACCCTCACGGGAAGAAAGATAGCCTCTTTAATAAATGGTGCTGGCAAACTTGGCTTTCCACTTGGCAAAGATTAAAACTAGACCCATATCTTTCACCATACACTAAACTCAAATCAAAATGGATCAAAGATCTAAATATTAAAACAGAAACACTAAATCTGCTGGAAGATAGACTTGAAGACACTGGTGTAGGAAAAGACTTTTTGAACAAAACCTTGATTGCACAGGAAATATCACAAAGAATCAACAGCCTGGATCTCATCTTTATTAAAAAGCTTTTGTACAGCAAAAGAAACCACCAACAGTGTCAAGAGACAACCCAGAGAGTGGGAAACAATTTTTGCCAGCTACTCCTCAAAAGACCAATAGCTACAATATATAAAGAACTTAAAAAAATCAGACCTCCCAAGTTTAAAGACCCAATCCAAAAATGGGCATCTGAAATGAATAGACACCTCTCAGATAAAGAAGTAGAAATGGCAAATAAATACATGAAAAAATGTTCAACATCACTGGTCATTCAAGAGATGCAAATTAAAACGATGCTGAGATTCCATCTCACTCCAGAAAGAATGGCTGCTACCAAGAAATCAACCAATATCAAATGTTGGAGAGGCTGTGGGAAAAAAGGAACCTTTCTCCACTGTTGATGGGAGTGTAGACTGGTGCAACCACTGCAGAAATCAATGTGGAGATTCCTCAAAAAACTAAGACTAGAGGCTCCATTTGACCCAGATATTCCCTTTCTTGGTATTTTCCCAAAAGAATTAAAAGCATCATACCACAGTGATATATGCACACCCACGTTTAGAGCTTGTAATAGCTAAATCTTGGAAACAGCTCAAATGAAGATGTATTTTTTTTAATATACAATGAAGTACTACTCTGCCATAAAGAAGGATAAGCTTGAGACATGTCTAGCTAAATAGATGCACCTTGAGACCATACTTTAAGTTCGATAAATCAGACACACATGTTTAAATACCACATTGTTTCTCTGGTGAGAAACTGAAAGTGAAAATAAGGACCAAAATGTATAACAGATGTTGGGAAGTGGAAAGAAAATGTTCAAATGAGAAGGGAAACAAGGGAGGGGGAGGGGGAAAGGAAAGAAGGGACAAGAAAAAAAGAGAGAATAGAAGGAAAAATGGAAATAAAGCTTTTGTAAATAAGGAGGGGAAGAGGGGTCAAAGAGGGGGGGAAATGAGAAAAAAAAGAAGTAAGATATATCATGTATAGCTACAAATTCCCCATGATGAATGCTATCATTATGTATATCTAAAATATACCAATAAATGTTTTGCTTCAAAAAAAATTGACTGATTCTAAAAAATAAAAATCTTTCTATAATAGGAAACTGGCTTATATCATCCCGATCTTAATAAAGCCTACAGCTTTTAAGATAAACTTTATTCCATAGCTAACATACCAATGAGCTTTGAAAACAGCCTGAAACGGATCACAGAGAACAAAGATTCTCATGCAGTAACACAACACTGCATTTTTCATGTTGCACATTTAAACTTGACAACCACATGCCTGTAATCCCAGCACCCCAGAGGCAGAGGCAGGAGGATCGCCTGGGGTTTGAGGCCAGCCTGGGCTACATAGCAAGTTCAAGGCCAGTCTGAACTACATCGCAAGACCCTGTCTCAAAAACAAAAACAAAAACAAAACAAAAAAACCTGACAACAATCAACACAAATTCTACCCTGAAAGAGTGAAAACCTCAGCCTGTCAATTTTATAGACCTGTAGCTCCATGTGTGCATGGACAAAAATTTAAAAGCCCACTTTTTACTGTCTGAAACCAGTATTCATTTTCTATACTCCTGAAGTATGTGGGAAGATAGCTCCGCCTGGGGGCAGTCCTTCGCCAATGACTGATGGGTGGGGATGGAAGTAACAGCAGTTGCCGGTTCTCTAGTTAAGGTCAATCAGTTGTGCCTTGTGCAGCTGTCCCTGGGGGGCAGACACAGCAGAGCACCTTGCTCAGCAGCTGGCTTGCCTTCTTTCCCTCCTCATCCCATTCCCCTGCCATTCCTTTATTGTTTTTTCTGGAAACTTTCTAATCAATCATTTAAACATTAATTCCAGTCTCAGAGTTTGCTTCTGAGGCCCTAAGACACAGGATATAAGTATTTTTAAAATGAATGTCATTTCTCTTTAAAGGGAATATAATTCCTTATCTTGACATTTGGATGCAAAAAGCACAATCATTGTGCCACCGCTGAATTAAATGGAGTAAATTAATCTGGAAAAGATTTTAAATTCAACTTTAAATATTAAAGGTAAAGATCCTTTATCTGTGATACATGTTCCAAATATTTTCTCCTAGTCCAGTTAGTTAGCTGTCTTTTGACTTTATGTGTGGTAGATTTGCCATGCAATTTGTTTTATGTAGTCAAATTAATCACACATTTTCATTTGTTGCTTGTGGATTTTGAATAATAGTGAGAAAATATTTTTCTTTTTTGAATAGTTTCACTTTTTACACTGAGATTCCTAGTCCATTTGGACTTTACTTTTGTGCATGATATGAGGCACAGGTCTAATTTTATCTTTTTCCAAATGGTCATCCTTTTTGGCCCAGCATCATTTTATTACAAAATTCAATTCTGTTCCAATGATGTATGATACCATCTTTGTCCTTCCATGTGCACTTGGGACATTTTTTGATTTTTCTGTTTATTCTACTTGCTTTTTGTATGTTCACACATTGGTTTCACCTCTGACAGCCTTTATAACCTTTATAATTTTTTTCATTAAGATTATTGGTACATTTTAGGTATACAATACAGTTACATTCATCACTGGGATCTTGTACCTTTACATGAGTATCTTGGTTCTTATTTTTTCCCCATTTCCCTGCCCTCTCTTCACCCCCTCCATCCTTCCCTATTTACAAAGACTTTGTTTCCATTTTTTTCTTTTCTCATATTTTTTTCTTTTCTCTTCTTTCCTTTCCCCTACCCCCTCACTTCCCCTACTCCTTTAGACCTTTTCTTCCTATTTCAATTATCAATCATACATTTCGATCCTTATTTACACTTTTAGTTTTTCACACCAGAGAAACTATTCGGTATTTACATGTGTGTCCTATTTATTTCACTTAAGAGTATGGCCTCAGTGTGCATCCATTTAGCTATAAATGTCTCTAGTTTCTCATTCTTTATAGCTGAGACCTTTGTACTTTTCATTATACAAGTTAAGGATAAAAAGAACTGTAAACCAGTATTGAACTCTGGTGAGTTGGCTTGTTTTCCACAATGGTATGGGTGAGCAATCTTGTAACTATGCACATTATAGGATTAAGCAAATAAGTGACTATACTGTGACAGCGAGAGCCAACTTTCTTGCTCTCAAAGAAGGCAGATACAATTATGGAAAGGGGAGATCAAAGCAAATCTTGAGATGTTGCATTGGAATTGAGGTGTCACTATAAACTTGTGTTGTTTTTTAAATACATGTGAAGACATAAGGATATAGACAGAAACAGAGGTGTGCAGATGTATGTTCATATGGCAATATACTTAATAAAAGAAAGCAGGACTTTTTGGAGAAATAGCTGACTCTGAGGCAGAAGCAGAGAAACAATAAGGTGAGCTCGGAACATCTTGTGCTAAAAGTCAGAATGACAGGAACATGTGGAAAAGATACAGCGTGCAGACTCTCCCTGGCCGAAAAGTGGCATAACTGAGCGACAAATAAATACTCATGGATTACAATCCACGGAATAATAGTCTATGAGTCCCTAGATAACAATGGATGAACAAATGCGCGAGAAGGGATAACTCTTCTCTATGGAGAGAAATAGTCAACAGAAAAACGTTCAGCACCCCGTGTCCTGTAGGGAGGGAGGAGAGGGAGCAGGGTGTGGCCGCTCTGGGCAATGGGGATGGGAAGCAAAATCCACTGATGCGTAGATTCCTGTCCTCCCTCCCCCGAGTCCCTCGGCAACTGTCAGTGCCCCACCGCCCTCTGCCCTCCGTTACCTCAGCGCCATCAGCAGGCTTGGAGACGCTGCTACTGGTTCCTCTCCGCCGCCACCAGCAGCGTCACGTCCCCAAGTCTGGCCGCCGGTGGACTAGAGGTTGTACAATCTCCAGGCCTCCCGCATCAGCGCTCCCGTTAAGTATGGAAGCCACTTGTCCTGCTCTGGCCACCGTCCAGGTCAGAGCCAAGAACTCAACCAATCGAAGAGAGGCATTCGGGGTGGGGGCGTGAGGCGCATGCCCACGGTGTGGCACCTGCTTCCGGCCCCCTGGCTGCGCCTGCGCCTGCGCCTTCCCCAGGGGTCGCCCCCTGGCCGGTAACCCGAATCCTCCCCTCCCGGGTCTTCCTCTCTATCCCAAAGTCGTCTCTGTCGTGGACACCAAGGTGAGAAACTGTCCTCGTGACCTTTGGTCTGAGCATCAGAGGCGGAGAAGGGAAGGGTCTAACGTAGGATAAAAAAGGGGCGTAGAAGAGTAAAAAACATACAGAATTGCAAAGCATCTTCACAAATGTGAGAAACGTGCGTTGGGGGAAAAATCCCTTTCTTAACCACCTCAAAATCGAAATTACTGGCTATCCTAAAAAATGATAAAAAGATACAGAGCATATTAGTATCTATGGAATATACTAATGAAATGCTCAGAATAAAATACAAAATAAGTGAAATATCCAATTCAAAAATTTAGAAAAAAAACAATGGAGGAAACTTAAGGAAAGAGGAAGAAAGGAATTAGGCTAAAAGAAGTTAATCACTTTGAAAATAGACATAGGAACACTAAATAAAAGGTTTGAAAAAGGCAGCAGTAAGATGGTTGACCATCCTAAGCAAGAAACAAGCACAAAAATACAAAATGATAAGGGGGAAATAATTATAGATACAGAAAAAAAGATTGAGATTACCGAATTCAATGCAGCGTTCTTGAAAACATGAATAAAATGGACGAAATGCTAAGAAAATGCAATTTACCAAAACATTCCACAGATAGATATTCTAAGTAGGCCAATTATCATAGAAGAAATGGAGAACTGCATTTTCCCATCCCTAAATCCACAAAATCTGAGGAGATTTCTGTGGTGTAACTTGAGGGGTCAGAAACAGTTGCTATTGATTTTGTTTTATTTTTGGTGGTGGTACTGGGGATTAAACTAAAGGCCTTCACACTGAGCTATAGCCCCAGACATTTTTTTTCTTTTCTTTTGATTCTTTTATTGGTACATTTTAGGTATACAATATGTTTACATTTATCATTGGGTGCTTGTACCTGTACATGATGTATCTTGGTTCTTATTTTTTTCCCCATTCTCTGTGCACCCTTCAGCCCCTCCACCCTTGCTCCAGCCATTTTTCTTTCTTTCTTTTTTAATTTTTAATTTTATATTTTAGACAAGATCTTGCTAAATTGCTAATTTGCCCAGGCTGTGCTTAAACTTGCAGTGCCCCTGCCTCAGCCTCCCAGAGTGCTGGGATTACTGGAGTGTACCACCATGCCTAGCTCTTGTTTTTTTTTTTTTTTTGTGGGACTGGGGATTGCTCTCAGGTCCTTGCAGTTCTGACGTGTGCATGGTGCCACTGAGCTAAATCCCCAGCCCCTCTTGTTTCTTCTTGAGGACAGAAAAAGAAGGAAACATTCCAAATTCTATTTATGAAGTGAGA